TAGTATCATTAGTATAGAGGAAAACAAAAATGAATTGCTTCATTCCACTCCCCCGTATTTGATCATTTACCACGGTTCACCACCCCTGAGTTCCTGTTCCTGATTGACAACTAGAGGCTGTGTTCCAGGGGTTATTGGGCTCAGAGTCATTTGATTCAAGAACTCATCAGCAGATAGCGAAACCTCTCATTTACTGTATAGGAAGATCTCCCACAGAGGCCAAACCTCAGCCTGTAAAAGCACCAGAGCATCCACTATTAAGCACTAAATCACTACTTATTATTAGATCATTATATTCAAACAGCATTTGGTTTCGCTAGCTTTTCAATAATAATGACTTTCATGCTACATTTGTTTGTTACATGTCAATATGCTTGGCAATAAAATTCCAGTATTTATTTGGTTACAGTTGTTAGTGTGCATCCACACAGCTGCTCCAGGCAGGATTACACTCTACTTCCCCATATCTCCCTCCACAGCCTGAGCGTGTTGCTTACATTGTATAATGGCAGTTTGCTCAGTAGGAACACTCAGGGCAAGGTATTCAGGTGGCCGCGAATACGGCGGAACTCCTCACATGCAATGCTAATGAAAAATGGCACCAAGGCGAGAGGAAAGGTGACATCTGTAAAACACAGAAACAGAAACGCAAAGAGGCCAGTGGACCTGAGAAGGAAAGTGAGGGAACGACGGAGTCACCCACAGTGGAACACCGTGACATATTTCCGTGGCACTTCTCTGTTTGGACAAAATACTTATAATGCTCAGTGCCTCCTCCTCTCACAGCTTTAGCATATCACCTGTTCTCACTTTTTTTTTGGTCCTCAATATCACTCAGCAGTGACACGCAGCAACCCCTGAGGCTGTCTGGGTTGCCTGGCCAACTGCTTTTCTTCAAAACCCCCTCACTGAAGCCGACATAGGCTAAGCTCACACACACACACACGCGCACATTCGTACATGCCTCGTTCTCTTTCCCCTTCTCTCTGACTCATCCCTCTCTCTCTCTTTTTTTCCGCTCTCAGCTTCATCGTCTCCTCAGCCTGATATGTGTTGGAGCTGCAGTCCTTTTGGATCTCCTGCATTGGTTTCCAAAATAACCTTTTTCTTCACCAGACTCTGTCTGCTGCGCTTAGTTAGCATGACGGCTGCTTTCAACCCAATTAGAGAGCGCTGATGGTGGCTGAAAGAATAAGGCTGTCTGTGTGGTTGTTATGTAACAATTCACCTCAGAGACAATGTCAGTTAACGTGGCGGTCTCTCTCTCTCTAGGTGTGTGCACTCGGATATTGCAGTGCAGTATTGCAACGCAGCTGCTGTCCAATGTGTGTATGCGTGTGTTTGGGGAATCCCAAAGCTTTGTGTAGCTGCCTCTGCTGCGTAGCTGATATTTATTATTTTATTTCCCACATTTTTTTTATGAACAATTAGATATTATAAACGGTTCATTGCAGTGTAGTGCAGGTTATATTCAACGTATGTACAACTCTTAACAACAGTAAAAGTCTATTTTCTTTCTCTTCATTGAGTTTATGTGACTTCTCAAGCATCACAGAAACATAGCATGTGCTTGAACACACTGTTATTAAGTCAAAGTAAGCCTTTCTCTGATCTCTGCCTTCTGCATTGTGACACCATGCGGCGTAACTAACATACTGACTCAGCATGTCCCTTCCTTTGTGAATGTTTTGTCGTACAAGGAGTGGACACACAATTATAAGAGCATTCCCAATCTAATATATCCCCATCCAACGGTAATGCTCTAATTCCTACCATTGTGAAGCTATGAGGAGTTTTTCGTCAGTGAGCTGTTGATTTTTGCTGCTGATCATTTCTGGGGCTGTCCTTCGTGGTGGTGGTGTATCGATTGCATCACAACGTAAGGTGCTCATGCTATTTAAAATGTTGAAATGAAGCAATCTGATGCTTTTGAAAACGTTTTGAAATGAATCTCTTCATGTCACGATACAAACCCGCGAGCATTCATTTTATAATGGGATATTACGGGCGTGCAGGTGTGCAGAGCAGCTCTCTCATCGGTGAAGTCTCCTGCACTATTTTTTGTCACAGGCAGGGGGAGCTGTATGCCACAGCTTCTGCTGGTGGTGCAGTGGGCACAGCTCCTACCTCAGTTCTGCCTCACTGTGTGCTCAAGGACATTTTGAGACAGACACGGAGAATGCGCATGGCTTCGATGTGGAGGACAGCAAACTACCCACTGCTTGTCAGGCCAGAAACTTCTCATCAAAGGGAAAGCAGCAAAATGTTGAGGAGCACCGTTCCATCATTAATACTTGTTCTTTATGATCACAGAGCAGAACAGAGAGACCCAGCAGACGACTCACCGGGCATAAAGAAATTATAATTAAAGGTCAAATGGATGCTAAGACAGAATGCACAATATTACATTGCACATTACGTGTGAATTTTAACAAGCCTCTCCTGGAGATGAATAGAGGCTGTGATGGTTATGTCATCAAGACACAATTACATAAAATAGCCTGCACTGTATTTTTTTGAAGTGCACCATGTACCTGCAGCCTCAGTCAGTGATTTCTAAAAACAGAAGCATATGCACTCAACTAATATGTCACCGTTGACCTGTCTTATCACTATTTTCTAATATTTGAAGGCTTGAAGATTTGATTTTAGGGCATTCAGCTTAAGGCTCTCTCTTGACGCTATAGTTAGTAGTGTTGTTCAGCAAAAATATGAATACTGCAGCATCGCTCGGTGGCATTGTACCACATTTTAGACACTTAGACACGTAAATGAATAAAACAATGTCAAAGTCTAAAAATTATAGTTAATAACTCATGTCAAACAAAAATAAGACAAGAGTTAAACACCTGAACTAGACATGATTCTACAACATGCCACTCTAAACAATTGCACCGTTTTTTACGGTGCAGCTACCGTAATTTATTTTTACTGCATCTTACCGTATACTGGATTACAGTATGTGATCGTAGGATAACTGGGTTTTACGGTCATTTTACGGTATATGCCAGAATGTTAACGTTTATTTAGAAAGGATAATAGAACCTGCTACTTTTGCATTTAATTCCCAACAAATAAAAGAATAACAAGAATAGACATTCCATACGTCATATGTTTTAAATCCACCGCAAATTTACAGCAATTCATTAGAGTGACCTTCTTGGCTGTACAGACTGACTTTGTCTTTATGTTAGTAGGCCTTTTTTGTATCTCAGCTGTAGTAGATCCCTCTGTGTTTTGTCAGTCGTCATACGGCAAAACACTATACAGTATGGTGGTCAGATGGTCTTGGCATCTGGCTGTGGAACTTCACGTTTTAATGTGGTCCCCATATGGTGTTCGAGTTCATAAAGTCCAATTAAGTATTCTCGCACTTTAGGTAAAAAGCTGTTCATTATTGCAAAATCTACCCTTTCTCCTTAAGTCTTTGATCAAATGTTACTCATTACTCACTGTCAACCCATGGGGAGCATGCCAACAATTATACAGACAGACTGGCACGTAGGCAGGGAGGTAGACAGAAGAATAGCACAGCAGGGAAGTGTTTTAGTCCGCTACAGATAGACGGGTTAGCAGCATGACGGACAGACGGGTACAAAGACGATGAGGGAAATTTGCAAGATGATAACAAAATCATGAAGCGCTCCATATCCCCAATGCTTAACTCACCCTCGGATGTTCAAACTACTTAGCATTAGAACCATTTTGACTGCCTTTATCGTGGTTTTATCTGATTTTATTCAAACAAAAGTTCTACTTAGAGCTGCCTTGCTTTTTTTATTAAGAAAAGAGAAAATCTATTCTGTGTACATACTGTATATGCATGTTAGTGTGTCTATTTGTGCATGTATGTTTACACTATAGAAAAAAGGAAGAAATGAAGTTACTCAGCTCAGGCTTCAGCAGTGCATTTCAACCTCTAGCTTACCTTTCGCCTTGCTCTTTCTATATGCTTAAACCTCTTTATTCCATCATTCTGTATTACATTTTTTATACCTGTCCTTTGGTCTCCAGCTTCCTCCATCTTTCAACTGTTGTCTTTTGCTATCTACATTCTTCCCACTGTCTTTCCCCCCCCCCCCCCCCCCACAAAAAAAAAAATCTCAATCTTTCTACTCCTGCACATGTCATTGTAATTTAAAAATAGGCAGCAGCAGCCCGGCAGAATATAACACCGCCACTACCAGTCACCAGCCAACATGATAATGTGAAACACGCCGCCTTACATGGTGGGGAAAAACAGATGTTATGAAGGGAGCTGCTCCGACATTCTGCGTTATATTGGTGAAAACACGGCATTTCTTTCCACAATTTTGTTTTACTTTTCTTTCACGCTAGAAATATATTAGAAAAGGATGAAAGAATGACATGCAGACAAGGTGGTCATCTTGCATCTAATTGAAGTATGAATCACACAGCGTAGCTTGCTGATGCTGCTACTTTCTCTGATAGATTTGAGTGGAAGAGTGCAGCGTCCTCTTTTTGATTAATAACTGGAGAAACTATCCAAAACCCATCTGAGCTAGAATATGTAATGTCTTTAATTTAAAATATTGTCAGTTGGTTGAGAAAAAAAACAAACATTTTCCTTTGTTGGAAATGCTTTACAGAAATGTATAGCAGGTCTATTAGGCCCCACTTGTCCAGGTGACATTGCCAGTGCTGTCTAACTTCAGCAAGGGCTGGAGCTCATTAACAGACAGGACTGGTTCCTGTGGAGTTACAGATGTGTGTTCACGTGTTGGCAGGATCTCTTACTACCCTGCTGTGACAAGGTTGTTGCCCCCTGATCCCGAACGCACTATAGTTTCTGGTACTCGTCCCCTCCGCATCATCGTGCTTGATAATTACGATCAGACACCTGGTTGATTGTTTCAGTCCGGTCGAATTAAGCAGCGCATGCCAGCAGTGCCAAGAATCTGAGCACGCTCACTGCGTCAGTGTTGCTGAGTTTTATCTGACGCTAAGTGAACTGTCTGTGGTTTCCCATTGCTACTTCCAAACAGACAACAGATGGCTTGATAAACTCTGTATCTTGTAACATGCTACCTTGTGTTGTTAACTTATACATCAGTGTTCTCTACATGTTCTCTAGGTTCTGGGAATGGTTTTACAACAAAACGTCTTTTAGCAGTGACATTAATAATGTATTCATGTCTGTGTTACCTAGGCATTCTATAACATTTTTACTGCATTCCAACAAAGGTTAGACAACTTCAAAAACTCCATTATCTTTGCTGTAGTTTAAATGTGTGGAAAGATACAGATTGCACTACCAGACTCCAGGAACATGGACAACATTGGAGCTACTTGTCCTTGGCTGGTTTAATGTTCTATTTACCTCAGACTACACATATAAACATTACATTTTGTAGATTTTATTACTTGGTAAAGCAGGATTCAATTGGTAACGCTGGCCTTTTACATATAGGAATTTGGTGTGCGATATAAAGCCCTGTGCACCTAAACCCTCATGACCTCCAAAGAATGAATGACCAAATCACTCATTGTCATTGTATGATTTTGTAGTTTTTTGTAATGAATGGAGCAGCCGGCCATGCTGCTGTTGTAGTCTTGGCTGAATTTAACTGACTATACCAAGTGTTTGTGCATTGTATTGTGACATTACGTGTTTGTTTGGAATTGGCTAGGTAATGAGAAAACTCAACAAAGACTTGATGACATTAACAAGTATTGCTGGTGCTGCCTATTCTTCGTGCCACAGGCCTCTATTGTTGTCTAAGCACTATTAAAAACACAACAATGAGCCACACCATTGCACTGGGAGACATGTTACTTTATTACAATGAACCTGAGCACTTTGAGTCCTGGTGCTGAAAATAGTACCAACTCCCTATTAAACCATGAGTGATTGCTTAAAAAAGGACACTAATGGTGTCCAGAGGTTGCAGGAAATTATCTAAGTTGTCATAGAATTAGAAATTAGATTTTTTTATTTACATCTTCAGTAGCAACAAAGGTGCTTGTGGGTGCCACAGACAAGGTGGAAGAGAGGAAGTATTTAAAGATGGACTAATAAACTGTTGATGTTGGTCTTTTCATGGGATTTGTCAAGAATAAAATAATAAAGACTTATGCCAGCCACATCTTTTGGTACCAAGAAATTAGTTTTGTGACTTGCTAACTTGTTAACGTAAACTGGTCACAGACTTTGAAATATCTTAATCCAGTGAATTTCAGTGTAACACCCTCACACTGTAGAAGTCTCCTCCATGAGCTGATTGTCGTCCTAAGGCGAGAGGGTGGGAGACATGGAGGGAAATCATTAATGCATGGCTTGACAAGGCAACAGGCAGAGAGGAAGGGATTGCTGAGCTAGAGTGATTGCATAGGAGAGGTCACTTACTGTAGAATGAGAGAGAACTAGAGGTGAGATAGCAGCAGCAGCAGCTCTTCAGCTCAGCCCATCCTCCCTGTGACAGCGCAGCGTTACGTGCTTCCTCTCCGCTTTGTCGTCAGAGTAGCCCCAGCCTCCCGCCCGCGCACAACTCCTCTCCGCTCTGCACCAGAAAGGAGCATCCTCTTCTCTCCGCCCTCCCTCTCTTTCGCATCCCTTTCTCTCTCTCCCTCTCTCTTTCTCTCTCTCACTCTCTCTGGCAGTCGGTGTGTCCTCACGATGAGTTTAGCAGCACCAGTAGCAGCAGCAGCAGCAGTAGATAGAGACAGCCAAGCCATAGTTACTGCAGCAGCCAGGAGAGGCTGTCTCTCAGCCGTGCACCATCTACCGCTGCATTCACCCCTGACCTGAGAACGCAACACTCATTTCTTGTGCTCTCTGTCTTTCTCCCTGCTCCTCCCTCACCTTCTGTCCTCTTTGAATTCATCTCTCGAATTCGTCCCCCCCCTCCCTCTCTCTCTCTCTCTCTCTCTCTCTCTCTCTCTGTCTCTCTCTGTCTCTCTCTCTCTCTCTCTCTCTCTCTCTCTCTCTCTCTCTCTCTCTTTCTCTTTCTTGTTCTCCCTCTCTCTCTCTTTCTGTAGCAGTGATGGGGAGGACCACCATGTAGAGACAGAGAGGCAGCGGAGGCAACAGCAAAATAGCAGCAATGGGAAGCCACACATGGAGCGGGTCTGGACTGCAGCCGTGGTGAGCCTGAGACCTACAGGACTTTCAACCACCATCATTGCCCTTCTCAGGACCTGACCACTGGGGCTGTCCAACGCTCACCTGGATGCTCCCCACTTGTGTTTCGTCATCCCCTCCTCTCCTTGTTCTCTGCTGTTCTTTCTCCTCTTCTGTTTCTTCTCTCTAATGGTTTTTGGTCTGCCGATACCTGACAGTCACTCCTGAAACAGAGAAGCTGCTCATCGATTGATCCCCTCGGATTCCCCCCTTCCCCTTTTTTTTAATCTCTCTATCTGCCTACTTTACCTACCAGTGGCATTATTTTTCTTTTTTTTTGGTTGTCTTTGCCTGCTTGATACCTATTTTGGATTTTTTGGGGATGAGACTGAGCTCATCTCTTGTGCAAGCTTTTTGATTGATCTATAAGCAATAACAAACACTAATCTAACTGACTTGACTAGCTGCCATCATGGGGGACATGTCCAACAGCGATTTTTATGCCAAGAACCAAAGAAACGAGGAGAACCATGCGGCAGCCTTCGGCTGCTCGGTCATGGAGCTTCGCTCGTTGATGGAGCTGCGTGGCCCAGAGGCGGTTGTCAAACTCCAGGAGGACTACGCGGGCGTAGAGGGTCTCTGCAAACGACTGAAAACCTCACCCACAGAAGGTGAGTTCTGGTCCTTGTCTGTGTATGTGCTTGGGTGTGCATGTGACTATGTGCGCGCTATACTGTGTATCGTATGAGGGATCTCATCAGGTTGATGGTAGATTTTCATTGTATTTGCTTTTAGTTTGAATATGCATCATTATACACTCGGCCCACCTGCTTAATTTGATGTAAAAATAATTTGTAAAAGCGCAGAAGCCCTGTAAAGCACCTGGAGGAATGCGGAAGCACAGTATCAGCACAGCAGACAAGGGAGGGAGTCCTGTTTGAAGGGACTAATGAAAATTAATTTCAGCCAGCTAGGGTTAGACCTGTTTAGTATGCATAGAAATCTCTCTGGACAGTTTAGGCCCCCCTCACTCTCCTTCCGCCATACAAGCCCCCCACAACCAACACACACACACACACACACTTACACACACACTCACACACACACACACATCCTTGTCATTCTCCCACCACGTCAACCAATCAGCCGTAGCCTTATTAAGGAGCAGGTCTCTAGGGCAACACGGCAGAGGTTTTGGCCACGTGGGATGTGCTGTGGCATCCGCAGATATGGACTGGTCATGAGTGGAATGGGAAAGCTCCAAGCACAATAATAATAATGAATATTTATTTATTTTCAGTGAAACATTTAAAAAATACAGTGAATATTTCATACCTACTGTTTATTCAAATATTTATGCAGATATCTACTGTTAAATGGCCCATCCTTGACTTTTTCCACATATTACATACAGGTAGGATTATCTGTTGCTTCGTCCACAGCTGCAGTAGAGAGAGCACACAAAAACAGACCTTTCTGATAGCTTCATCTGTGTATTGAATATTTATAACTTAAAATCACCCACCTCCCCTTATTTAGGGACCATTGATTAGTATCCAGGCAGTGTCACCTGTGTGACATCAGAGGTAACCTGTAACCTTATTGGCTGATAGCCACAGAAGATTTTGTTCCCAGGTCGAGTCATCCAATAGCACCGCTTTTAGGTCAGCTGCTGGTAATACCTGGCAGAGTTAAGTAGATAGATTCACAGAATCTTCCGATTCGAAACAAAGAGTGCATAAAGAGCAAATCAAAATGTGATTGAATAGAATAAAACACTGATAGACACCGCTTCAGTTAAGGGATGCAGTGTCTATTGCTCGTCACCATATTTGCAACATTAGTGTGGAAGAATGCCTGCAGTGTTACAGCGATACGTAACATGACACTGAATTTAAACTAGCAATAAAATTGATCATAACAATCATAAAATTATAATTCTTTGTCCCATTCTCATGAGCTACCTGATTAGATTCACAAACATTATTTATTTTAGCGTGTTAAACACTTCCAGGATTACAGCTTTCAGGCTTGCGTTAAAACTAAAAATGAATGTAATTAAACTCATGATACTGAAACAGGAATATTGTTTTAATTAACATGCTTTCTGATCCGGGTAATCTGATTTGTTGAACCTTTCACCAGTGCCACCGTGTGTGAAACACTATCTCTGACATTGAGGGGCTAGCACTTTTGACACATAATTACACGCTCTAGCTCATTTGAAACATTCAACATGTTTATATTAAATGTTTGCAGTGCATTCGTTTCAATTATAAACTTCCACACTGACATTATTCTGGATCACAGTGCAACATTGTAGCCAATGGCTAAAATAATAATGATAAAAAGATATAAAAAAAATATTGCTCATTGTGTTTATGCTATTAATTATTTTGGCATTTATTGGATTAAAAAATTGATACAAGAATGCATCGTGTATCTTGCTTGGATAAATGAGGTTCTTCCATATTATTGTTTGTCAACGTTTCCAAGGGGTAAAACCATTTAAGTTTGCCACATTTCGGTTGAGATCTTGTCCACCTGCTAACAAGCAGGATGCTCCTCTCCTCTCCTCTCATCATATGAATATTAATTGTTATGATTAAGTGCATTAACTCTAAAAAGATCATTCGCTCATTGGAAACAGAGTGATGGCATCTGGCGCTATTTGCATTAGTGATCCTGGGTGTTTCTGTGTTTATGTCGTGCGGGTTCCCTTTGTGTGGTGCGTGGGCGCTCCACAGAACATATGTTACCTCCGAAATATGATCATTGTAATTATCCTCAAAGGTATTCGGCATTGTTTGCTGTCATCATGTGTCCTGTGTGTAATGTGTACGTGTCCCAGGGGACTGTGTTTGATGGTAAGAGGCCTTAAGCACGCTTGACCTAGCCACGCATACTGTAGCCGGTGCCAGCCCTTTCACATGATACCAACGGTTCATGAATGGCTAGTCCATTATTCAGCATAAATTCATAATGGCTCTGTAGGTATAGAAATGCAACCAGTGAAGGGTTTGCACTCTCGGCCGCATGCATTTATAGATGCGTTTGGCACCAGGCTTCTGCTACATTGTTGCTACAGTACATACAAATGTACAAGTTAGAAAAGAAAGTAGAGGACATTTTAGAAGCTTTTTTCAAAAAATGCATTTGATTAGAAATATAAGTTATATATGACTTACGGTTAGAGTAAGGGGATCACTCCATTTCCAAGCAGAGTAGTTGGAAAATATGTGAAAGATTGAGGACTGCATCAATAAATGCACACAGGATGCACATTATGCACATGATATAAAGCTATAAAGGAAAGAGAATAACGCCACAGTTTGGGGGAAACAATCTAAATGTTTCAGGAAGCTTCAAATTTCTTCAGGCATTATTATGTTTATTCATTTTTTAAAGGTTTCATGACCCTAATGGATGGACAATTTCCAAACCCACAGTGATTGCCTTCACTCAGGATGCAGTTACCTGTGTGTTGCCTTGTAGGTGACTGTGGGGTGAAGAAGCTAGCGTTTCCCTCAGGCAGCCAGCAGGGTGAATGGTTTGAGTCATTCAGGGGCCAGATGGGATGTCAGGCAGGCTGCAGCTTAGTTTCCAAAAACAGACCAGCTTCTCTTGAGACAGGGGAAAAGACGGTTGGTTGGTGCTCCCAGCTCCCTACCCAGTGTCCTGGGTAGGGAGCAAGGAATTGTAGGAGAGCGCTCAGGGCAGAGACATTGCTCGAGGGTTGAGAGGAGGAAGAGGTGCTCAGGACATCAATGTTCTTTGATGTTGTGAGAAAGGAAGGCAGGAGGGTAGTTGGAGAGACCGTGCGGGAAATTAGGAATAGATATAGATACAAGTGTAGAAACCATTTTATATACGAGGAGTCTGTCCAACTCACAAAACTAGTGGTAAGCTTTTAAGCAGGTATGACTGCTAATTTTGTTTAAACAATTTGGAAATGAAGCAGTGAATGTTTTAAAACATGCATCACTACAAGTTTGCACTAAATTGTATATAATACCAATCAATTTGGGGACTGTATCCAGTACACTTAATAGTACTGTATTATTGTCCAAAGCAGAACACGAACCAGCAAAAAGAGCGGCCTTTCTTTTTTTTTCAGTTCTCTGCCTGCAGAGTTGCTCATCATGACTTTACACACCAAGGTGATGGAATGAAGTGCCTCCTTATGCATGCTGCAGAGAGATAGAACTAAATTCTAATTAATACAGCAGGAACTTTGAATAGGCAATACAATTCAATATGGTAGTAACATTTAGCAATTTGTTCATTTTGTATTGTCTTATATTAAAACCAGCCTGGGACAGAGATACCCCAATGTCATATCCTCACCCTCACACTTTTATGTCTAATATCTCTTTTTTCCTCTACAATATCACCACTTCCCATTTCAGTCTTCTTACTACCTCCATCTTCTCTTCATCCCCCCTTGGACGCCAGTTCTACTGATTTGACTCCCACTGCACATACACACTCTTCACCTCCACCACCTACAAATCTCCCTCGACATCCCCTCCCCCCTACCTCCAGACAGTTTTATACCAGCAGCTTTTGATTAGGTCCATACCCTATTCTTACCAGTATTTCAATCACACCAAAACTATATTTCAAATGTAATGATCTCCAACCTAATATAAAAAACGTATTCCTGAAATGTATACATTGAATCTGTATCCAGCCTAAATTGGCAATGGTTATCCATTCCAGGTAAATTATATTTACACCAACACCTCATCTCCCATCCACCTTTTTTTCTCCTCTTCTTCAGATTGTAAAGTTAAGAGGAGTTATTTCAGTTACTGCATAGCTCTGAAAGTCTCATCAATTTTCTATGGAGACAATTGCAGGCTTTGTTCACGCTTTGATGGGCATGAAACTGTCACAGTTAAATAATCTGTACAAAAGATGAGCAACTGTGTTAGAAAATATCTGGATCTTTGAAGAAAAAAAAGTCTTACGGTTTAAGTCTGTGCACATAAAATGTACGGACAAAAGTCAACTACGATTCCCATGGTGCACTTTTTGGTACGAAACACGCTGCCACAACTCTCACGCTGCTAACAGCAAATGAGATGGAAATTTTACACTTTGTAGAAATCAGGAAGTTTATTCTGCAGCATACATTAGTTCACTTTCATCACCACACCTTACTTCTCCTCCATTCTCTCTCTCCTCTGCTCCCATTTCTATTTCGGTGTGCTGGTCGATCGCGGGTATCCCAGTGGGCCAGTGTACAGCGTAGCCTTAATAGACCTGCTCTACATCTATAACCTTCATCATCCCTCTCTTCTACTCTCACTTGAGTTTCTAACAATGTAATAGTGCTGGAAAAGTAGCACACCATTTCTAAACTTCCTTTTGTCCCATAAACTATTAAAACATATAGTACCAGAATGGCGATTTGATTTTTTAAAATTGTATTAACATGTTTTTTCTTTGTTGAAACAAATATTTTGTCATTAAGATGACACTAGTCTTTGACAAGTAGGAAAAAATGGCTTACAGAAATGCAGGTGACCATCAGTTGATTGAAGACCGTTTGTTTTTGGGGGGGCCCCTGCATTGCTGTTTGTGGCATGAGAGAGAAATGACAGAATAGGATGGTGGTCGGATGATATGTCAGAACAATGCTGGTATTTCTCATGTGAGGAGGTTG